ATTTTAATCTGGGCAGTTATAGTTTTTTAAATTTCCAGAACTTTTTCTTTTTCTTTTTTAAGATTTTATTTATTTATTTGACAGAGAGACAGTGAGAGAGGGAACATAAGCAGGGGGGAGTGGGAGAGGGAGAAGCAGGCTCCCTGCTGAGCAGGGAGCCCCATGTGGGGCTCGATCCCAGGACCTTGGGATTATGACCAGAGCCGAAGGCAGACGCTTAATGTCTGTGCCACCCAGTCGCCCCTCCAGAACTTTTTCTTGATCTCCAATTACCACATCTTCCTAGAAACCTTTATTTGTTTCATGCTGCATTATCTCATTTATTTGTTTCTTCCAGGGCTGGTTATTTTGTGTCTTCATCCTAATCCTTTTTGGTGCTACTGAAAGTGAGTAATAGCAGGTCCCCATGGTTCCCCAGCAGGCTTATCCCTGAACAGGCTGCAAACTCGGTGGGCAGGTGTATTAACTGATGAAAATGCTTTGCTTGGATCTCCTCACCCAGGTGACATTTGGCAACATTTGGAGACATTTTTGGTTGTGACATCTAGGGGGATGCTACTGGCATCTAGTGGATAGAGACCAGAGATGCTGCTAAATATCCTACAGCATACGGGAAAGTCTCCCACCTCAAAGAAGTGTCCGGGCCAAATGTCAATAGTGTGAAGGTGGAGAGAACCCTGATTTAAGACCATCTGGGAGCAGGCTGCCACACCTTACACCACCAAAGGCCAAGACAAGGAGGGACCCTTCACACCCACTTCAGGAGACTTCCCAGGTACTTATTCAAGTTTGTTTAAAGAAGATCTCCAAGGACACACAGCTGACTCAGTCAGTGGGGCATACGACTCTTGATCTTGGGGTTTTGAGCTCGAGCGCCGTGTTGGGTATAGAGATTATTTGAAAATAAAATTTAAAAAAAAAGAGGGGCACTTGGGTGATTCAGTTGGTTGAACATCCAACTCTTTTTTTTTTAAAGATTTTATTTATTTATTTAACAGAGAGAGACACAGCGAGAGAGGGAACACAAGCAGGGGGAGTGGGAGAGGGAGAAGCAAGCTTCCCTGCAGAGCAGAGAGCCCGATGTGGGGCTCAATTCCAGGACCCTGGGATCATGACCTGAGCCGAAGGCAGACGCTTAACAACTGAGCCACCCAGGCAGCCCGAACATCCAACTCTTGATCTTAGCTCAGGTCTTGATCTCTTAAAAAAGAAAATTAAAAAAATTAAAAAAAAAAGTTATCTTCAACTGATGGTTCATGAACCACATGTGGCCCATAGACTTGCTTCATTTGGCTTTTATTAGAATACACACATATATATAAAGTGGCCAACATTTTGGTTTATTTTACCTAAAAACCCAGATTTCTAGCTTCTGTTGGAAAATCAGGACAAACATGATTCAAGGAGCCAAGTGGCTGCTATCCCTATAGACGGGCATGTGGTCCCTTCCCACCTTTGTCCCCTGGTCACCTTAGCCACCTGTCTCCTGCTTGACCTTTTTACCCATGTGAATTTATGACCCCTATCTTTTCTTTTTTTTCTGGTTTTATCCTGGGGACGAATGCTGACTCTGTACCCAGGGATAGCTGTGGAGTGGTTCTAAGATAATCTTCTAGTTAGTCATCTTGTTTCTCTCCCACTGTTACTATTCCTTTGGAATAATGGCAGAGCATATATGTAGGAGGACCGTATCTGCCGCCGTTAGTGGTGGAGACTTGGGGATTATCAGGTATGAGAGAGCAGGTGAAGCCCCAGGCATGAGTGAGATTGCTTGGGAGAAGTGTGGCAGGAGAGAACAAAAGCCGTCCAGGATGGACCGCTGAAGAAGGCAGACAGCAAACAAATCAGACTGGATGGCCAGAGGGCGGGAATGGAAATCAGGTGTGTGTGGAGTCACAGAAGCCAAGTGGTGAGAACAGGTCAAGAAAAGAATCAAAACGTCTAATGCTGCCCACAGGAGGCTGTGCAGGGTCCTTTAATTAAAATATACTGGTCATGGGGCGCCTGGGTGGCTCAGTTGGTTAAGCCTCTGCCTTTGGCTCATGTCATGATCCAGGGTTCCTGGGATCAAGTCCCACATCGGGCTCCCTGCTCGGCGGGGAGTCTGCTTCTCCCTCTCCCTCTGCCTACCGCTCCCCCTGCTTGTGCTCTGTCTCTCTGTCAAATACATAAGTAGAATCTTTAAAAAATATATACAGGACAGGGGCGCCTGGATGGCTCAGATGGTTAAGCGTCTGCCTTCGGCTCAGGTCATGATCCTGGAGTCCCGGGATTGAGTCCCGGGATTGAGTCCCGCATCGGGCTCCCTGCTCGGCGGGGAGTCTGTGTCTCCTCTCTCTGACCCTCCTCCCTCTCCTGCTCTCTGTCTCTTGTTCTCTCTCTCTCAAATAAATAAATAAAATCTTTAAAAAATATATATATATATATACAGGACATAATTTTGGTGAGAGCAGTTTCTCTACAGTGCCAGAGGTATGCTGGAGCCTGCCGCAGGTTGCAGGTGCTGGGGAGAGGAGAAAACGTAGACTGTTAGGACAGACAGCTTTTTCCAGAAGTTCAGCCATGAAGGCGATGTGAGATCACGTGTGGTGAAGGGTGGAGAATTGGTTGTTGGTGGGCTGGTTGTTTTAAGGTGGAAGAGATTTGAACTTGCTTATAGAGCAGATAGTCTGGGTCTTGTGATGTTGTGAACGGTGTAACCTGACGAGCTCATCCCCACCATGAAACATGTAGAAATGCGGCATAAAATCAAGTAAACATCCTTCAGAATGCACAGCTGGGTTTCAGAAAAGTGAGGGGAATCCCCACACACAAAGAAGAAATTGAAAACCAGAGCTTTGACGCTGTAGATCTTGGCAACACAGGGGCTTGGGTTGTACTCTCACCTAGAGACTGGAGATGAGGTCTCGCCTGGGGTATTGACAACGGAGACCCTAATATGAAGCTCCGCCCCTTAGAGGGGGACACCCTCAGTGAAAGAGTGAACTAGGAAAAAAAGCTTTCCATCAGCTCAGAGGGCACCAAAGAACCTTGTCAGGCTCACCCTGAGATCTGATGGTGATAGAAAATCTCTCCCAAGAGCTCCCTGCTGAAGGCTTGCCCTGGCTTGGGTTTGGGGCTCAAGTTTACACCATCTGCATGGTCATGGAAGCCCAGATAGAGTGAACAAATAACATGGTCCACACTTGGTAATACCCTTGGAGCATCCTTGACAGGAGCAAACCCAGCACCTCTCTAGAAAGACACCCTCAAATCTAGTCACGCGGCTTCCCACTCATAAGGTCCTGCTGACCCTGAGTTCACAGCCCCAGATTAGAAACTTAAGAGGAAACCATCTGTCATGGATGCAAGTAAGCACCCTAGAACTCCAGACAACAGAGTTATTAGAAGAATTAAAAGAAGGACTCAACGTGAGAAAGTAATAAGAGGGTGTTAAAAATGAGAGGCAGAGGGGCGCCTGGGTGGTTCAGTCGGTTAAGCGACTGCCTTCGGCTCAGGTCATGATCCTGGAGTCCCGGGATCGAGTCCCGCATCGGGCTCCCTGCTTGGCGGGGAGTCTGCTTCTCCCTCTGACCCTCCCCCCTCTCATGTGCTCTCTCTCTCTCATTCTCTCTGTCTCAAATAAATAAATAAAATCTTTAAAAAAAAAAAAAAATGAGAGGCAGAGGTTTAAAACAAAGAGAAAGGACAAAGGGTAAAACTAAGACCCCTGTTAATCCACCGACCTGGCCGTCCCTTCCGCTTTCCTTGGGCTCCTGGTACGTGTGGCCCCTGGCCTGGGTCTAGGAGCGTAAAGATGACTCTGGGGACAGCAGGCTGGCCTCTGCAGCAGGAAGATCACATTCGTCCATGCGTGCGCACACCCCCCTTCATTTCATAGCGTCCTTAGAGGTCAATTTTTTTTTTAAGATTTTACTTATTTATTTGACAAAGAGAGACACAGCGAGAGAGGGAACACAAGCAGGGGGAGTGGGAGAGGGAGAAGCAGGCTTCCCGAGGAGCAGGGAGCCCGATGCGGGGCTCGATCCCAGGACTCTGGGATCATGACCTGAGCTAAAGGCAGACGCCTAACGACTGAGCCACCCAGGCGCCCCAACAATCACTTTTCTGAAGTCTCCAAGAGCGCAAGTGGCAAAGCCAGATGGAGCGCCCGGGCCTTGCCTCTGCTGAGCCCTTGACAGGCGAGTGTCTGCACTCTGAACACTGTGTGTCTCTGTGTTTCCCTGGTGGACCGTTTGCTCCCCGTGGGTGGAGTCCCCACAACCCAGTCCTGTCAGCTGATGGTGACAGTGAGAAGTGACACCGTTATCCAGCTCCTGAGTGACAGAGATGGGATGGAAGCCCTGATCCCTAGCTTGTATCAGTTACGTGTCCCTGTCTTATGTCACCCCGTCCAACCCCCGCCCCTGCCACTAGAGAGACTGAAATCCTCCAGAGCAGGGGCTAGGTCTGATTCCTCCCCCACCCCCCACCCCCCCCACCCCCCCACCCCCACCCCCCGCCGGGGCCTGGCTCAGCCGAGGGCCCTGCTGTTACTTCGACTTCCTTCCTTCCTTCTGGCACCCAGGGCGTGAGAGGGGAAGTCCAGCCCAAGTGCTTAAGGCCCCGGCAGGAAGAGCTGACTCTTGGCCCCTGTCCAGCAGCATTTCCTGGGTGTGAACAGGGGAGGTTCCTGGCCATTAAAGAGCACAGGATGGCTGCTCTCCGTGTAGGACTCTCAGTCTGTTTCAGAGCTTCCGGGGGGGGGGGGGGGGGGGCGGGGAGGGGAGAGGGAGGAGGCTGCAGGACAGTATGAGGATGTCTAACACTTTCCTAACCCTTGCTGATCCATCAGTTCTCTTTTCCTTTAACAAAGAAAAAGCAGATCTTTGAGTCAATGAATGGGAACAATGTCTACCTAATATCTTTGTTTACCTTGTATTTCTTTTCATGTCAAACCTTCTATTTATAGTAAGCGATACTGGTTTTCCATTTGCAGAAGTGATACAAAAAAGGTTCCTTTTAAAATAAATTTATTAAGCAAACAGTACATCATCTTAAAGAAAAATATAAAGTAAAGAATAGTACAGGGGTGGTAAAGTGGTCCGACAAAAATCCTAACATTCATGAGTGAAGTTGGGGAAGTCGGACCCCTGGGAACGGAAACCCCTTCCCCTCTTCCCAGCTCCTAGCTCCTCTCCCAGAGAGGAGATCAGCTCAGACAGATAGCTCTAGGGCCAAGGACATCTCTGGGCTCCATTTCTTCAGGATGGAGCTTTATGAATAAGCCTGCCTTGCGGCAAATCTGTCTCTCTGGACTGATCCAGCAAGCTGGGAGGGAAGGTGGCCAGAGGCCGCATATTAGGAGCCGCTCTGCCCTGGGACAGTGTTCCTTTCCGTATTGGATCAAACTCACATCTCCTTGGCTGGCCTCCCTCCCCCTGCAGGGGGTCAGAGTCGGAGGGCTGCCTGCCATTGACGTGAGGTCCCAGCTGTAGGCAAGGAAGGGGCCTCTCCAGTTTGGCTGACCAAGTCCCTATTGCAAGTTGGGGGTCAAAGCCACAGTTGAGGTGTAATAAGACGCTCCTTTGCCTGGTCTTGACCTCTGTGTGTATTTTCCTGGAGGCATGATCTGTGGCTCTGGGAGGCTGGCTTCCTGTCCCCTCCTGCTGGCGGGACTGACCTTCGTCATCCACACTCAGCCTGTTCTTCAGCATCCACGGGACCCCCGCACTCGGATCCCAGCATCTTAGGTGCACAAGGAAGGTGGAAGCCTCAGTGATGATGCTATTTTCTGCCTCTCTGGTACCTTGAGATCTTAATCTGCAACGTGATTTTGGTGGCTTCTGGCCCAGAGTCGGCCCCATCCCCAATTCTCTGTGCCGCAGGCCTGGGCAGCCAAAGAGAGGCACCTCTGGGCTTCCTCTGGAGCACCGGCTCTGTCCACACGGAGCCCCCCTGGCCCCAGATCCAGGGAATTGAAATCCAGATGTAAAAGGCTGGCGGCGGGTGGGCGGCATTCTTCCCCAGGGGCCCAAGTATCAGCTTGGGTTCCTGGGCTGGAGCTTCAGGGCCTTAAGGCGTCGGAGAGACTCTCTGAGGTAGGGCCTTCCTCAGGGGTCTTTGGGAGGCCAATCCTCCAGGCCCTGGGGATTCAGAACCCCACGCTGGTCCGACCTTCACGCTTCCAGAAAGCGGAGATCTGCTCCAGGGTGACCCGAGGCTGGAGGCCCCACTCAGGATCAGGGCTTCCTAGTCGCTGCCTCTGGGCCTGGGGGCTCCCCAAGTACACGTTGGCCTCTGGCCTCTGTTCCGACTCAGCCCAGCTCACCAAGCCTGGGACACAGGGCCTCTCGTCCAAGGCCTGGGGCCCCCAGAAGGTGCTGCGGGCTGGGGCCCTGGGTGGGGTGCGGGGGACCAAGGAGCCGAACGGGGAGAGTGGGGCTAAAGGGGCAGGTGGGGCTGTTGCGTGGGCCTCCAAGGTGCCCCCGGGGATGGGGGGGTCTGGGGCCTGGTCCATCAGCAAGGGGACCGCAGATCCGTACCAGTCCTCGGAGCGCTCTCGGGGGGTGCCCCTGGGCTCAATCCACAGTTCTCCTCCGGGGCGCCAGACCAGGGTGGGTGCATGGGTGCTGGGGTCTGGGTGTTGTGAGCGGCGGAACAGGCGTTCGGCCAACACGGCTGTTGTTAGGAGGAAGAGCGCAGAGAGGGAGGCCAGGGCCAGCATGATGGGGATGCAGGGCCCGCAGGGCAGTGGGGGCCACGAACCCAGCTCTGATGTAGGGAGTCCCTCCGTGTGCCCAGAGGGCTGCTCAGGAGTCGAAGGCATCTGGAGAGACAGGGGTCAGGAGAGGAAGCAGATGAGACAGGGTGGGCCTAGAGAGAGAGAGAGAGGCCATGAGTGTCCAGACCACAGTGAGGAGAGAGACAGAGGCCCAAGGGGCTTGGTATCTGGCCTGGGAAATAGACCCCGACAGACAGAGGAGCAAAGGGGACCCCAGAAGGGCAAGAGAGAGGCAGAAGGCTGGAGAGCCAGGGTCCCTCCGTGGCCGGCAGCCGGACACGCCCGCTCAGGTTCCCCAGCTCGCTTCCAGAAGCCCTGGTTCCCTCTCAGACCCGGGGGTGCCTCAGACGAAACCTAAGGGCCCCCGAGGGCTTCTTTCCTCCTGTCTAGCACCCCCTTCCCACTGCACCCCTGCGCCCCAGGTCTTGCTTGGGCCTCAGAGGAAGTGGTGGGTAAGGGAATGAGAAGCTCCCCTCCTCCCTGCCCGCTCCCACCCCGTGTGTATGTGCCACCCACCGCTGGCTGGCACCTTGGACGCTCCGGCGGCCTCACGACTCTCCGTGGAGTGGGTCTTGCTCTCTACAGGCTCCCCCTTGTTGCTGTCGTGCTAGGTGTCAGGCCCCACCTCTGCACCTGTCCCCACCGCCCCCCCCCCCCCCGCAGGCTCTGTCTCCCTTGCTTGTCTCTGCCTACCAGGCCCCCCACCTGCAGGGCCCTCCTGCAGCCTCACCTTAGCTCGGGGCAGCCCCGAGGCTCCCGGCTCTCCCTTCAGAGCACTCCTCCCTGTGGAGGAGGGTGCCGGGCAGTTGCCTCAGATAAGGACGGAAGGGAGGGCACCCCCTGTTGCTGGGCAATGGTGCCCCAACTCCTCTGCCCCAGTGGAGTGTTTCCTAGGCAACCTGGGGGGATGTGGTCAATGTGGTGGGGAGGCGTTTCCTGGCGAGAGGTGGGGCCCGAATGGGCTATGCTTGTATTGAACTCAGTCTCACCTCATAGCCAAGCCCCAGGCCCCAGAACATTCACCTGGAGACCGAGAAAGAGGTCGGTGTGCAGAGCCCCGAGGCTCCCGGCTCCCCCCGCAGGCGGTTGCCCTGTCCCTGGCCTGCCCACGGGGCCCCACCAAATGGGCTCCTGCCCCCCAGCCCACACCCCCTCCTGCTTGACCCAGCCTTCCCCATACTTCTCATGAACATACATCTCTTTGTCTTCAGACCATGTGGCCTCAGTTTTGGTTGGAAGACATCTGTAAGGCGAGGCGTGGGTAGCAACAGAGTAGGGCCTCTGGGAAGAATCCAGAATCAGGCTTAGGCCTATCTCCAAGGCTCTGGACGTTTGCCACCCTGGTCCTTTCTCCTGGGGTGAGGGGTCAAGAGGAGCCTGGCGGGGGGCATGAGGGAGTATCGTCAGCCACTTGGGTCCCTTCGGAGATTGTCTAGTTTAACTCGCTGGCGGACAGATGACAAGCAGGCCCCGCATAAGGGCCGTGTCGTGCCCGAGGTCATACAACCCATGTATGTGGGAGGGACCGGAGAAGCATAGATATGAATTCCTAGTTGGGCAAGCAACCCAACACAACACAACTCTTACTCAGGACTAATAGTTTCTTTTGCAAAATGACAGCCATTTAATGAGAAAGACTGAAAAATAAGTATCTGAATGTACATTGAAACGTTAGTGTCTTAGAAGATGGTTACAAGGGCAGCGTGACTCACATTGCTCGGTCCTGGCGGTTTTGAGGAAAGGGCCGGAAGGAGCACAGAGTGTGGCATGGGATGGGAGTAGGTGGAAATAGAGTCCGGAAGCTCCAGGCCCTGTGACACATGCTGAAACCTGATGTGATTATAATTTGATGAGATCATAAGCCTTAAAATAAAACCTGAACCTGATACTACCGAACTGGACACTTAAAAATGGTTAAGATTGGGGGCGCCTGGGTGGCTCAGTTGGTTAAGCGACTGCCTTCGGCTCAGCTCATGATCCCGGAGTCCCGGGATCGAGTCCCGCATTGGGCTCAGCAGGGAGCCTGCTTCTCCCTCTGACCCTTCCCCCCTCTCATGTGCTCTCTGTCTCTCTCATTCTCTCTGTCTCAAATAAATAAATAAAATCTTAAAAAAAAAAAAATGGTTAAGATTGGGGCACCTGGTTCGCTCTGTTGGAAGGGCGTGCGACTCTTGATCTTGGGGTCATGAGTTCGACCCGCACTTTGGGCATAGAGATTACTAAAAAAAATAAATAAACGTAAAAAAACCCCAACAAAACAGGTTAGGGCCTGGGTGGCTCAGTCGGTTAAGTGTCTGCCTTCGGCTCAGGTCATGATCCCAGGGTCCTGGGATTGAGCTCCACATCAGGCTTCCTGCTCTGATTCTTCCCAGCCTCTCCCCCTGTTTGCGCTCTCTCTGTCAAATAAATAAATAAATAAATAAATAAAATCTTAAAAAAAAACAGGTTAAGGTAAGTTTTGTTACAGGTATTTACAACAATAAAAAAAAGTTTTTAAAAATCTAAATAAGTGAATACATAAGTAAAAACTGAAAATTATGTATGTTCTGTTTTAGTCTTTCCTTAAAAAGACAATACACGGGGCGCCTGGGTGGCTCAGTCGTTAAGCGTCTGCCTTCGGCTCGGGTCATGATCCCAGGGTCCTGGGATCGAGTCCCACATCGGGCTCCCTGCTCGGCGGGAAGCCTGCTTCTCGCTTTCCCACTCCCCCTGCTTGTGTTCCTTCTCTCGCTATCTCTCTCTCTGTCAAATAAATAAATAAAATCTTTAAAAAAAAAAAAAAAGACAATACACTAGAAGGATAAACATTATTATTATTTTTTTTTTTAAAGATTTTATTTGTCAGAGAGACAGAACACAAGCAGGGGGAGAGGCAGGCCGAGGGAGAAGCAGGCTCCCCGCCGAGCAAGGAGCCCGATGTGGGACTCGATCCCAGGACCCTGGAATCATGACCTGAGCCGAAGGCAGCCGCTTAACCAACTGAGCCACCCAGGCGTCCCAAGGATAAACATTATTAAAACCAGGAAGATCAGCTATGATCTAGAATCAAAACTGGATGTTTTGATTTTTTTTTTTTTTTTTGAGAGAGAGCGAGCAAGAGCGTGGGCTTGCGCACATGAGCGAGGTGGGTGCGGGGTGGGCAGAGAAAGACGGAGAGAGAGAATCCCAAGCAGGCTCCATGCTTACCATGCAGGCTGACTCAGGTTTCTATCTCATGACCCTGAGATCATGACCCCTGCCAAGATCCAGAGTCGGATGTTTAACTGACTGAGCCACCCAGGTGCCCCTGAATGTTTTAATTCTTAACTCTCCTATCACTTAAAAAAAAAAAAAAAAAAAGCTTAACATTTTTTAACTAGTTCCTTAAAAAATTAAAAATAGAATTACTTGGTGATCCAGCAATTATACTTCTATGTATATACAGAAGAACTGAAAGCAGAGGGTCAAACAGATATTTGCACACCTGTGTTTATTAGCAGCGTTATTCACAACAGCTGAAAGGTAGAAAAAACTTAAATGTCCATCAACGGATGAATGGATAAGCAAAATGCTATATGCACACACATATATTGCATAGACGCAGTGGAATATTATTCAGCGCCAAAAAGGAAGGACAGTCTGACACCTGCTACAACATGGCTGAACCTTGAAAACCATATGCTAGGGACGCCTGGATGGCTCAGTTGGTTAAGTGTCCGCCTTCAGCTCAGGTCATGATCTCAGGGTCCTGGGATCGAGCCCCATGTCAATCTCCCTGCTCAGCGGGGAGTCTGTTTCTCCCTCTGCCACTCCCCTGCTTGTGCTCTCCCTCTTTCTGACAAATAAATAAAATTTTAAAAGAAAAGAAAACCATATGCTAAGTGAAATAAGCAGTCACAAAAAGACAAATACTGTAGAATTCTACTTGTACGAGGTCCCCAGAGCAGTCAAACTCACAGAGACAAAGAAAGTAGAATGGGGGTTGTCAGGGACTGGGGGGAAACGGGAATGGGGAGTTGCTGTTTAATGGGTATAGAATTTCAGTTTGACAAGATGAAAACGTTCTCTAGGGGCGCCTGGGTGGCTCAGTTGTTAAGTGTCTACCTTCGGCTCAGGTCAGGATCCGGGGGTCCTGGGATCGAGCCCCGCGTCAGGCTCCCTGCTCAGCAGGAAGCCTGCTTCTCCCTCTCCCACTCCCCCCGCTTGTGTTCCCTCTCTCGCTGTCTCTCCGTCAAATAAATAAATAAAATCTTAAAAAAAAAAGACGAAAACGTTCTCAAGATGGATGTGTTCCCTCTCTCGCTGTCTCTGTCAAATAAATAAATAAAATCCTTAAAATCTTAAAAAAAATATTTCTTTAAATTAAATTTTATTTTTTTAAAGATTTTATTTATTTATTTGACAGAGAAAGATAGGGAACACAAGCAGGGGGAGTGGGAGAGGGAGAAGCAGGCTCCCTGCTGAGCAGGGAGCCCGACACGGGGCTTGATCCCAGGATCTTGGGATCATGACCTGAGCCGAAGGCAGATGCTAAACAACTGAGCCACCCAGGCGCCCCTTAAGATTTTATTTTTAAGTCATCTCTACACCAAACGTGGGGCTCGAACTCACAGCGCTGAGATCAAGAGTCACATGCTCCACTGACCGAGCCAGCCAGGCGCCCCAGCCTGCATTTTTTTTTTTTTTTTTTACAACCTTCTGCAGGGCAGGGATCAGAACCCAGATGTCCAGACGCTCAGGTTCCTCCCACTCCAGTGCTCAAGAATTTCTGAAAACAGAAATCAGGAAGTAACTCAAGGAGTGTGTGCAATAGAGAAGTCTCTGGGTCAGAAGTCTATGAAACAGGCCCTGGGGGGGTTGTCTTCTGGGTTGAAGGGGTGCTCCTGGGGCTGGGTGTTCAGGGAGGAACCTGACCATACCTGGAACCAGCGAGAGAAAACTTAATTCTCATAGACTAGGCAGCCGGCTTGTGGGCTGCTGGGTGCGCAGTTCTGTCCTTGGGACTCTTCCCTTCTAAGTGTATGTGGTGGTTTTAAAACGTGTCTGCAAATCCTTGACATTTCTTCTGTCATAGGGTTGAGTCCCGTCCCCCATCTCTTGAACAGAGGCTAGCCTTAGTGACTGACTTCTAATGAATGGAAGAGAGTCGAAATGACAGCATGTCCCAAGCCTAGGTTAAAAAAAAAGGGGGACAGGGGCGCCTGGGTGGCTCAGTTGGTTAAGCGTCTGCCTTCGGCTCGGGTCATGATCCCAGGGTCCTGGAATCAAGCCCCGCATCGGGCTCCCTGCTCATCGGGGAGCCTGCTTCTCCGTCTCCTACTCCCCCCTGCTTGTGTTCCCTCTCTCGCTGTGTCTCTCTCTGTCAAATAAATAAAATCTTTAAAAAAAAAAAAAAGGGGACAGCGGGCGCTTGGGTGGTTCAGTCGGTTGAGCGTTGGAGTCTTGGTTTTGGCTCAGGTTGTGATCTTGTGGGTTTTGGGATCAATCCCCGCTTCCAGCTCCATGCTTAGCGGGGAGTCTGCTTGAAAGATTCTCTCTCTCTCTGCCCTTACTCCCTCTAAAATAAATAAATAGGGGCGCCTGGGTGGCTCAGTCATTAGGCGTCTGCCTTCAGCTCAGGTCATGATCCCAGGGTCCTGGGATCAAGCCCTGTGTCGGTCTTCCTGCTCCACAGGAAGCCTGCTTCTCCCTCTACCAGTCCCCCTGCTGTGTTCCCTGTCTCGCTATGTCTCTCTCTGTCAAATAAATAAATAAAATCTTTTAAAAATAAATAAATAAATCTTTTTAAAAAAGAGAGAGTGACAGAGACAGAGATGCCTGACTGGCTCCATCTGTGGACCTTGATCTCAGGGTTGTGGGTTCAAGCCCCACATTGGGTGTGGAGATTATTTAAACAAACTTTTAGAAAATTAAATAAATACATTTTTAAAAAGGGGGGCAGTGCCTAGCTGGCTCAGTCTGTGGAGCATATGACTCTTGATCTCGGGGTTGTGAATTCAAGCCTCACGTTGGGTGTAGAGATTACTTAAAAAAAAAAAAAACTTAAAAAATAAAAATAAAAAAATATTTAAAAAGAGACAGCTCCCACCTGGCTTGGGCTTGCTATCCATCTATCTGTTATCTATCTATCTATCTATCAATCATCTATCATCTATCTATCTCAATGTTCCCTCTTGGAACCCAGTCACCATGTGTGAGGAAGCCCAGGATACATGTAGGTGACCTGGTGAAAGTCCCAGTTACAGTCCCAAATGACAGCCAACATCAGCCACCCACCTGTAAGTGAGCCACTCCTCAGATGTGCAGCAGAGACTACCCCACTGAGCCCTCGTTAAAACAGATTTATTGGGGCACCTGGGTGGCTCAGTCAGTTAAGCGTCTGCCTTCGGCTCCGGTGGTGATCCCAGAGTTCTAGGATCGAGTCCCGCATCGGGCTTCCTGCTCTGCAGGAAGCCTGCTTCTCCCTCTGCCACTCCCCCATCTAGTGCTCTCTCTCTCGCTCGCTCTCTCAAATAAATAAAATCTTTTTTAAAAAAATAAAGAAAACAGGGCGCCTGGGTGGCTCAGTTGGTTAAGCGACTGCCTTCGGCTCAGGTCATGATCCTGGAGTCCCGGGATCGAGTCCCACATCGGGCTCCCTGCTCAGCGGGGGGTCTGCTTCTCCCTCTGACCCTCTTCCCTCTCATGCTCTCCGTCTCTCATTCTCTCTCTCCCAAATAAATAAATAAAATCTTAAAAAATAAAAAAAAAATAAAGAAAAAAATAAAGAAAACAAATAAAACAGATTTATAAGAAAAATCAGTCTCACTGCCTTAGGGCACTAGGTTTCGGGGAGGTTTGTGACCCCGAAGTGGGTATAACTGGACCGCTCTCCGGCGCGGCTCTCACAGGGTGAGTAAGGACGAGCAAGGACGGGGCTTCAGAATCGCCTGCGGGGCCTTCTCTAGCGCCCACTCTTTATCCCTCTGCCCCCCCATTCTCTTCCACTGTTTTAGGGCCTGAGATGGGGGGCGGTGAGGACAGCCGCAGCAACAGCGGCCCTGAGGTGGGTTAGGAAATGCCCCAGGCGGTTCAGCTGTGCCCTCCCGCCCCCTAGCTGAGATCACCAGACCTGTTCTGTCCGGTGCAGGAGTCATTCGCCGCATGCGGCTCTTCAAATTCAATTTAATTCAAATAAAATACTCAGGAGTGCTTCGGGCTCAGTAATTACATTTCAGGTGCTCCATGGGCGCGTGCAGCTGGTGGTGACCGCCGACCCGGGCAGCGCGGCCGCGAACGTTCCACCCCCGAGAGCCCTGTTGGGCGGTGCTGCGCTTGAACTTCACGGCCCCAAGCGGCCCGAGGGCGGGCGAGCGCAGCATCTCCTGGGAGGGCCCTGGCCTGCCGATCTCAGGCTCCGCCCAGACTTGGCGCATCAGAGGCGCTAGGTGATCTGGAGGCGCGCAGCGCCGGGCAGAGCCTCACAACCTTGGCTGCACACCCAAAGCACGTGGGAAGCTTTTTTAAAAAAAGCTCCACGCTGTAGGGGCACCGGGGTGGCTCAGTCGGTTAGGGGGTCTGCCTTCAGCTCAGGTCATGATCCCGGAGTCCTGAGATCGAGTCCTGCATCAGGTTCCCTGCTTCTCCC